ATGCATTTCTTTAATTGCCAGAGATGATGAGCATTTTTTATGTGTTTGTTGACTGTTTGTACTTGTTGCTCTGGGAAGTGTCTGCTTATTTCTGTTTCCTATTTCTTGACTGGATGTCTAATTTTAGAGAGCTTAAGATTTTTGAGTTCTTTGTATATTCTAAATATTAGTCTTCTGTCTGAGAAGTAGCTGACAATTCTTTTTCCCATACTGTGGGCTGTCCTTTAACTCTACTGATTGATTGATTCTTTTGCAGTATAGAAACTTGTTAGTCTGAGATAGTCCCATATGTTGATCCATTACAGCGATGTGTACAAGGACTAGTTGAGAAATCACATACCTTGAGACTCTATTTTCTGCTTCCTTGTAGCCTAGAGAGGAAATGTTCTTTCAGTTTAAGTCATAAATTTGTATCTAATTAAATTGCTAGGATGTTATGTTCCCTAGTTTTTTTTTTTTTTTTTTTTTTTTTTTTTAATTTTTTTTTTTTTTTTTTTTTGTGGTACCAGGAATCAAACTCAGGACCTTATGCTTGCCAGGCAAGACTTATTCCACTGAGCTATCTCCCCAGCCACCCTAGTTTTTTTTAAGCTGGTTGCATAAAACAACTGAATTTTACTGTTACCATATAGTATTTTATGGATACTAGTATAAAGAATTATCATACAATTTGTTTTGATAAGAATATAGCTTACCTTTGTCAATGTTGTAAAATAAGCAGTATAACTAGTTCCCCTTCTACCATTGCATTAAATGACATGACTTCTCATAACCAAGTATGTTGCCCTTAATTAAATGATTATTGCTCAGAAATAAGACTTTGTTTTCAATTGCTATTATTTCTTTACTACTTCTCCTCTTTTCATTTACCACCGTTTTAAGTGTTGTGATTTCATTACTTTTATTTTTTATGAAAAATTTTATATCTATTTTGAAAGAAATTCAGTATTAGTAATAAATTATCTGTTCACAAATATTGCCAGGTAGAGTTTTGGGTCTAATATTGTCACCTCTCTTTTTATTTATTTTATTTTATTTTTGTTTCTGCATCATACATAATGATTATTCTTTTCTTACTCTATACATGTTTCTGGACCATGATTTGAATTATCCATTTCTTTGCTTATCCGTAATAAATTATTTGTTCCCGGCATATCCTCTCTTGTCATCCTCTATGTGTTGTGGTTCTTCTGACTTTTATTTGCTATTTTACTGTTAATTCAAGCCAGGCTATTAAGGATTACTCTGGTATTTAGAAAGTTTCATTGAAAAAGTTTCACAAATCTTAAGTTTTAAGATGTATTTTAAATTGTATATACGTATGCTTTCCTTACTTAGAATATTAAGAGTGTAATTTATTAGGACAGTATGTTAAAATATGTTGAGTTACAGTTTTGAGAATTTATCAGTCCTCTTGGAATTATATGTTTGTGTAATATTATCATTTATGCAATATAATACCATGTTCATGAACATAATTATTGGATATGGTAGTTTTGGTGTACCAGTAACCCAAATTATTATAGCTTTAATTTATAAATTAGGCCTATGTTTGTCCTTATAATTCATCCAAATACCATACTTTATCTAATATCTTATAAACAAACATGAACTTTGATATCATGCTTAGTGTCAATGCCTATGAAGTACAGCTCAATTTAATTGGAGAACCCTTGTAAAACTTTTTAGTTGGGTATTTCTGTCTCCTTTCTAGAGTCCAGAATAGATATAGGATTCTATAAAGTATTGTCATTTCTTTTTTGAAAGGATGAACTTATATGCATGTTTTTTCAGGAATCATAATATTCACATCTTTGAATTTATCATTCAGTCTCGATCTTATCTGTAACATTTAGTAATATCTAGTAATATCATTTGAAAATAATGAGTATGTAGAGAAATAATAAACAAGATTAGGCAGTATGCTATTTGCCAAATGAGTAATATAACCAATATAGACATTCAGAAATGTCAGGGATTATAAATGTAAGGGTTGTTAAGGAGGCTTTGATGGAGGATGTAGGAGTTGGAGGTTGAGTCTAAACAAGGATAAGACCTCCATGTGAGTAGAGAAAACAATTGCAAGTTATAGATGGGCTATTGTTGCATGGCAGATCTATTTTTATGGTGTTTAATGATATAGTATGCAATTTGATATCTACTGATTAAAACAGGAAATTAAAAACTTAAAATTGTGTTGAGATGTCCTTCATACTTACTGCATTTGTAAAAGATTCCCAGTCTGAGTCTTAAATGTTGATGGAGAAACAGTGATATGAACTCTTGAAAGGTCGATAGCAAGTTTAGTTTTAGAGAAAGATTTTTCAGACTTCTATTAGTTTGATTCCCACACTTTTACATTTTACTTTATTACCTGGTGTATATATGTATGTATATGTATTTTTAAAATAAAATTACATATAGTAGTTGCCCTGGATATACATGATAAAGGTAAACATATAACATTTACACAAATATAAATTTCACAGTATTTAAATAAAAAAATTTGATTCCAACTTAAATGTGAATAAAATAGGGAAGTATTTTAATTTGTATAGTGACCCTGCTTATTTTTATATGTTTATTCTTTTTTTCCCTGTATTTTATGGAAGGTTCTAGCATTCAGGGTCTTACTACTACATCGGATTCCTAGTGGTTCTCCTGTTTACAGCCTCCCAAGCACTGGGACAACAGAGATGTACCACCATACCCACTCTCAATTGCCATCTCAGTGTACCCAGGGGTGTGGGGGGGCAGCACTAGCACGGCAGGCCTGGGGATCGAACCCTGGCCCCTGCACCTGCTTGCAGGCACTTTCATCTGCTGAGCTATTTGACTGGCCCTCTTATATGTTTATTCTTATTGACATCTTTTTATGTTAAATATTCTTGCATTCCATTTAATGTTTTCATTTAAAAGTACAGTATCCATTAAAAAATGTCAGTCTGATGACAAAACTAATTTAGACTCATTATTAAGTTGGTGTTTATAGTTTGAAAACTACTTTTTGGGAAGAATTTTTCCTTGTAGCTGTAGATTTGCTTTTAATATTTTTTAGCACATTATTTATATACCCTTCTCTCACTCAAATGGGCAATAGCTGAAATATATACTGAACAAAGACAGATAAATATATTACAGCATATTTATGTAACAACCATAAATTATATGGATGAATTTGGGAGCACATATTGAAGAAAAACAGCCAGATTATGTGTAGTATGGTATAACTTACATTTAGTTTAAAAATAAGCTAAACTTACAATATATATTAAATATGAATGCATGTGACTTCAGACTATAAAGACAAGCAAGAGAAAGATAAGAAACAGATTTCCAGGATTATGGGGGCTGGGGAGAAGCTCAGTAGAATACGTGCTTGCCTGGCAAGCACAAGAGCCTGAGTTCAATTCCCGGTTCTGCAAAACACCAAAAATAAAAAACAAAACAAAACAAAAAAAAACCAAAGAGTTCCAGGAAACCCTAGTGGCTAGGAGGTGTTAAAAGATAAGAGAATATGTGCAACAAACATATAGCCTCCCCAGATAATCATACAGTTGTATTTCAGCTATGTTCAGGACCTTTTTGGTTATTTTTTCTCTTTATTATTCACCTACTTTATAGGTTATTTTTGTAGTACTCAATATCTAAGATAGTTTTATGTTATTTGTAACATACAAGCAACCATTAACATTACAACTTTAGAATATTAGGATTTAGAAGATATCATCAGCTTATTCCTTAAACTCCGTGCATTTTGTATTTCATCCCTCAGCCTTACCCCACATTTCACTTTATCCTCAACTCCAATGGAGAAATTTAGATAACAAGTAAAAATAGGAGTACATTATTATACTTAGAGATCAGTGTCAGTGATAGGCCAGAGTTGGAATGAAGACCAGTTTTGTCTGAGCCTGTAACTCAAAATGAAAATATCTATTTGCAAATTTCTGCTGCTTGGTTGAAAGACAGATGACACTGTTGAATCTGATGCGGATGCTTCAAATAGTCTTTCAGCCCAGATAGTAAGTAGGTGCTTAATAAGTATTAGTTGACAAAATGGATCAGTTGACAAAAGTTGAAAAATCTAGGAAAGATAAAGTGTCAGGATTTGTTTTGTCATGTGACTTTGAAATACTGTGAATCCAAAGAGTGATACTGTGTAGGAAGTTGCAAATGTGATATTGGATGCAAGGGAATCAGGGATATATTATGTATTATATGTAGTCTTTCAGATAGAATTAAGACAGTTCAACAGAAGGTGTAAATATTCTAAGAGGAAAACTGTAAAGAAAAAAGGGAGGTGAGTATGGATATATCTATATCCGTATTATTTAGGTATCTCTAGCTAATGAGAAGACTTTGGCTAAAACTTACAGCAGTATTAATATCATGAATATTCTTTCTGTAGGGTAAGATATTTTTAGTACCTAAACAAACTTAACTGTTTTTGTTCTTTGAAATGATTTTTATCTTTTTTTTTTTTTTTTTCGGAATTATGGATTGAACTCAGGCCCTTGCGCTTGCCAGGGAAGCGATTATTCCACTGAGCCATCTCCCCGGCCCCTTTGAAATGATTTTTGCCTTCATAAAACCATAGAAGTTTTTCTGAAGAAGTTTTCCAAATGACATTCAAAAAAGTTTGTAGTAGTTATTTTGGATATACATGAATTTGCTTTGCTAGAATGTTTTATACAATTTTATTTTTTCATGTTGTATGCTTACATTTTGAAAGTTTGTTCCTTGGTATAGGTTAACATTTAGTGACCTGTTTTTGTCTGTTTTTTTTTTTTTACCTTAAACTTATAAATAGATAACATACTTGCACATTTTAGGTAAAATCTATGGCATGTCATAAGAAATGAGAATTGTGCTGATGGATTTTATTGTGAAAGCAAGTTCATCCTGACTTTAGCAATTGAAATCTAGAACTTACAGGGTAAAATATTTTTTTTTTCTAAGATATGCCAGTTTACTAATAATTCAACATTTTTTCACAGAGAGAATCATTACTAAAACAGGAAATAAATAACCTTGTAAAACGGAAGGTTGAAATAGAAGAAGAAAATGCGTTTTTGAGGAAAGAATTCAATAACTTGCAAAAAGAATTTAAAGATAAAAGTCAAGAAGTTAAGGTGTGTTGACTTGTACATAGTTTTATAGGACTGTTGCTTTGAAGTCCCCCTTTAAGCTTTGTCAGCCTTTGTGGCACAGAGAGTGACAGGCTTAGAGGAAAAATTGCCTTAGGCTCTGCTGTATCATACAGTTTTCTCACATGTAAAAACTCTGATAAAGATGCTTTAAAGCTAAGACTCCAAGCTTTATAACTTTCAGATTAATAGTTAATGATGGAAATGGAGCTAAGAAAGTAGGAGTGTGAATATGTGGCTTCTTTTAATTAGATTCTGATGGGACTGGCATTATTAATTGATAAAACCCAGGTCTGGGAGGATATGTCTGTGTGGGTCTCAAAAATAGCTGGGGACAGCATCAAAGGCAGCTTGATCAATTAATGGGCTCTTTGCAAATGTGTACTCATCAAAGCTGTCATCCAGTGAAAAAATATGACCCATCCACCTGCATGAAAAGAGGCCAATAAAAGTACACAGGTGACCTTGGCCATCAAATATAGAGCAAGCTGCTGTGAGGGTAAAACTGCACAGTTTATATTTGCTGATTAGTTCTCCCCTTTTTTTGTTTGTTTATCGGCCCTTGTGGTACTATTCTACAGGACACCAAGGAGTGTATACAGAATAAAGAAGAGCAAAACAGAGTGGTTATAAAAAAGCTGGAGGAGGAAAATGAAAAATTAAGTATCCACTGCGGTGACCTGCTAAATGACCTGGAGAAACTAAGGGAGGAGGAAACACGTTGGAGAAAAGAAAAATATAGCGTTGATGCAAAAATAAAGGTATATAACAAGAATGTAGTTCATACTATAATTTTGAATGTAACTTCTTATAGGTAGTTTAATACATGCTATTTTTTAAAATAGCAACTTATATATTCAAATCCACCAGTGGGGACTAACATTAATTTATATTCTTTCACTTAAGACCCACAGCTTTTTAAAAATTGATGTTCCAAAGCAGGAAACTGACTTCAAATAGTTACCCTAAAATGTAATCATTAAAAAATATAGGCTATTGCAATTTGAAAAAAAATATTTTGAGAAAACATATTTAAAATCATGGGCTTTGACATTTTAAAATTCAGGCTTATATTTATAAATGTAGCTAGAATTCATTGCAGTATTTAAGACTCTCCTAGGGCTCTTTAAAATAAAATAGAAAAATTCTAAAAAAGTTAAAAGTCATGTTTTTGGGGTACTGATTTCTTTGAGCTAAAACTTTTTAGGAAAATTTGAATAGAAGGTAATTTGCCATCAATACATAATATTTCTGTATCCTTTTAGTTGGTATTTTTCAAAATAATATTTTTTGTGTCATTGTTTTTGTTTTGACCCTTTGCTCACTTATTTCCCCGTCAATTTTCAAGATTTTCTTTTGTCATAGATTTTATTGAAGAAGGAGCAAACAAGGCTAGTATGGTAGTCTTTCTATGTATGTGTACAATAAAGTAATATAAATTATAAACAGATACATATAAAAACATATTTGGGGACGGGGAGATGGCTCAGTAGAATAAGCACTTCCCTGGTAAGTGCAAGGGTCTGAGTTCGATCCCTGGTTCCTAAACCCCCCCCAAAAAAAAAAAAACCCACATATTTAACAATAGTATGGTTATATTGTATGGATATGTGTGAGTACACAGGTGTATGAATATTTGAATTAGGGAGAAGAACATGCTTGAATGTGTGAATCAACCCACTGCAGATATTGAAGAAAATGAATATATTATGTATTAGGTCTTAGGACACAAAGAGTGACTCAGCAATTGAGGAAATTGAACACAGGTGCATTTATTTTCTGCTTTTCTACAACCTTTAAAAATTGGTAGTATGGGAAGAGCAAGTAGTACTTTTGTTGATTTACAGCTACATGATTATTTGGTGAAATTTTCATTTGTTTATGCTATTTAAATAATCAGTTCTCTGATTTCCTATGACTTTTAATTCTATGATTTTTTAAAAAAAAATTGTGCCTAATATAAAATGAATTGAATTTTCAAATTTTAAGAATTATTAGGTTTATATTTTTTTCCTAATGTTTTTGTGTTAGGATTTTTTGAACAGATTTTTCCATTCTGAAGTCTGTAGTCTGTTTCAAATTCATTTTTGGATATGATGTTTTACATCATTTACTTAATAATTTTATTGATTTGTGTACCATTGTCTCTCCAAGTCTCTAGGTTTCCTGTGTGTGTGTATTTATTTCTGTAGTTTGTATTTGCTTGGGTTTAGGTATTATAATTTTGTGATTCAAATAAGTATTTCATAACAAAGTCTAATTCGTTACTCTTTTCTTTATAAATTATTAGCCAAGTATGTAGTTTTTCACTACATTTTAATATTGAGAATAATTTTGCTAATTTTAACAAAAACATTGTTAGAAAATAGATTGGAACCACATTAATTTATAACTTAATTTTGAGAGAATTATTTTTTCATGAAATGTGAAATAAGATTTTGAAAATTCGTATAAATAGCACTGGCCCAGTTTTATTAGATGTAATTCTAGCTAGTAGTACATTGTAAATAACGTGGTATTATAGTGTAAAATACATTTTCTGTTACTGATTTCTTTCATCTAGAGCTTCTGTTGAATAATGTCTCTAATGGTCTTATTTTACTATTTTATATACAATGTAGATTTTTCTAAGTTACATAATTATGTTGTCAATAAGAAAGCCATGTCTCTTTGTCTCCTTCAAAAAGCATTATTAGAATGTAAGTGTCATATGTTGCATCAGTTTAAAGCATTGAAGTCAGTGATTTTTGTTTCTGCACAAGGTTAACAATTACGACCACTATCAACTCGCAACATTTTCAGTATACCCCAGAAGAAATCCTGTACCACAGTCATTGCACATTTCTCCCTAACTGACCAGTCCTAGATAACCATGAATTGATTTTTTTCTATGTAACCATTTGTGATAAATAGGATTGGAATAGCTGGGATTTTATGACCAACATCTTCAATGAGGTTTATCCATATTCTAGCCTTTATCAATCTTTTATTCCTCTTTAATATTGAATAATATAGTTATAAAGCTATCCTATATTTCATTTATTTATCAATAGCATATGGATATTTGATTTGTTGCCACTCTTTGGCCATTGTAAATAATGCTGCTGTGAGTATGTACAGAATTCTGTGTCTGTGTTGGGACTCAAAATGAGACTGAAAAAGATGGGCCCTCAGCGTGCTGAGTAAGATGAGGAAACTGATAAAGGTGCAGAAGCAGGAACATCACTCTCTGACCTCCTGCCTTTTTACCTAGATCTCTTCTCGCCTTTTCTCTTGAAGTAGGTGATGTGATCCCCCTCATTCCATAGGAGTCTTGCCTTATACCTAGAGGTAATGAAGGATATGAATAGGCAAACCTTGCTAAATTCTTCCATTTTGCTACATGAGATATCACCACTTTGACCTCTTATTGTACTTATGCAAAACTGTTCATAAAGATACATTTTACCCTGGATCTTTAAGCTTTTGTTTCTGAAGTCTTCTGTATCATATAAAATGTGGTTAAATAAAATATTTTGCTTTTCCTTTATTAACCTGTTTTATATTATAGGATTTCAGCCATGAGCTTTTCCATGGGTAAGGACATGATGTTACTTTTTATTACCATGTAGACATATGTTTTTATATCTATTGGATATAGACCAAAGGCTAAGGTTTTCAGTCACATGGCAACTCTGTTTTTAAATTGTTGAGGAAACTACTTGTTTTTAAATTGTTGAGGAAACTACTAGACTGTTTTCTACATTTGATCATAGCCAAAAGGCCGAGAAGCAATCAGACTCTTTTCTAAAGCAGTGACACAGTTTTATGTTCTGAATAACTGAATATATGAACTTTGCTTTATGAGTTCTTGGCAGTCTTACTATTGTCTGCCTCTCTAATTATTATTGTGGTATTAATTTACATTTTTCCAGTGGCCTGTGATGTTAAGCACCTCTTCATATTCTATTGACCATTTGTGTATTTTTGGAAAATACTTGTTCAAAACATCAGGATATATGTACCTTAGCACATATGTAATTTGTGCTTTCCTCAATTCTGTGAATTTATTTTTACATTTTTTCCTGATTCTTTCAAAATATAAGGTCTTTCTCATTGTCCAGGCTTGTCGTGCACTCCTGGGTTTAAGCGATCCTTTTGTCTCTCAGATTCCCAAATTGCCAGGACTACAAGAAAACACCAGCATGTTCACTTTAATGGTGTGTTGTAAAACACAAAAGTTTTCATTTTGATAACATTTAGTTTATCTGCATTTTTGTTTCTCTGTTACTCAAGGTTTTGGTGGTCTATCTAACAACAGTTTTGACCTGACTTTTAATGTGTTAAATGTGGATCCAATTTCATTTCTTTTGTGTTTATTAATTCATTTGTCCTAGCATCATTTGTTGAAAACATCTTTCTTACCTGTTAGTGAATTATTTTTGTATCATTGTTGAATATCCTTTGACTGTGACCAATATCTTATTCTTGGACCTCCCTTCTCTTCCATTGTTGTGTCTAACTACCTTCATGTCCTTACTACACTGTCTTGCATTACTATACATATGTGGTGGGTTTTGGAACTCTAAGTGTATATGTCTCCAGACTCCTTTTTCCTTTTCAAGGTGTTTCTTGCATTTTTATGTTTAGAATTTAGAATCAGGGTTGTCATTTATAAAAAAAAAAAAGTTCCAAAAAGCAATTGGGATTTTAACAGTTTCAATTCAATCAAGAAGGTCAATTTGAAGAAGTATTACGAATTTAATGGTATTGAATCATGTGATTATCAATATGTGATATCTTTCATTTTGTTCCTTTTAAATGTCTATGTCAACAATGTTTAGAGCCTTCATAATTTTAAGTTTACAGTTCTTTGGGTAAATATATTCCTTTTTTTTTTTTCTTTCCTTTGGAGGAACCAGGGATTGAACTCAGGCCCTTGCGCTTGCCAGGCAAGCACTTATTCTACTGAGCCATCTCCTCAGCCCCCTACATATTTTTAAAGAGCTGTTGTAAGTGTAATTATTTCTTAATTTTCTTTGTAGATCTTTCATTTTTTAGTATATGGCTTTAATTTTTGTATTTGAGCCTCTGTACTGTAATTTTACTGAAAAAATGTAATTGTAGCTATTTCTATGCATTTTAATAGCTTCCATGTATGATATAATATCCAAATACAGTAGATTTACTTTTTTTTTAAGGCTGTATGTTTTTTATTCATATTTTCCTGGCCAGAGCTTCTAGCACAATGTTGAAGGAAAGAGGGTCCACATTAATGTGCTGTTCTTGATCTCAGGGGGAGCACTTGCTTTTTTTTTTACCTTTATGACATTGGCTCTTTTTATGGTACTTTATTGGATTTGAGAAGTACTCTTTTTTTGTTTGTTTGTTTACATTACTCACCTTCTACTCGAGAAGGGGGGTTAGATTTTAGTAAATGCCTTTCTATAGTTCTGTTGGGATGGTTATGTAGTTTTGGTCTTTTTTATTAGTGTTATGCAATTCTGGCAAATCTTTCAGATCTTTCAATGAAAGAAACAGCCTGCTATGGCACACATGCCATAGTTTCACCACTCAGTATTATGGTGTGTTGTAGTAACTGATTTTTGGATGTTAAACTAACTTTATGTTATTGAGAAGGATTGGTATTAATTCTTTAAGTGTTTAGTAGACTTTATCAGGGAAGCTGTGTGATCATTGAATTTTTTGTTGGAAGATTTTGATGATTTTGAGATCTTATGTTTGATGGTGAGTCAGTTTAGATAATTTGTATGTTTCTAGT